GGTAAGATTACATTCCAAGAGGTCAGAAGTTCCTGTCGACTTTGTCAATTCGCCTGTTGATCTCGAGTAATAAGAGAATTCAAGATATTGGCTGATCTGGTGGATTGATAAAAGTGATTTGTCAGGATAAGTGTTACCTAGTATATCAGGCAAACACGGAGTAGTAAGTGATTGAGAGTCTCGAGTGAAGCAAAAGCCTCCTCGTATTGAATTTCGTTTATATGTTTCGACTCTAGAGTATATTTAACAGAACGAACCATGTACTCACACCAGAGACAGACTACCCAGAGAGCACTTGGAACAGAGTTGCAAAGAAGAAATAAAGAGAACCGTCCAATCAAAGTGCATTTCCCTCAATGATTTCCCACCTTATCTAATCATCCATCACTCCCTTCCACTTACTCCGAACGAAATGGTTCCTCAGCTCCGAAATCACATGTTGCAATTCGATACTTGGGAAGGATCAGAACACACAGAGCTTTTCTACCACCACAGCAATCCTCGAGTATTACCAAGAAACCCGATCTCTGAACTTCCAATGCCTACGTAGGTAGTAGGTCATCTGGTAATTATCAAGCGCTCAATCCAGCCGAGGCGACCGAGAATATTCAAATCCAAGTCTCTATCCCCAAAAGATACAATGCAATACAATACAATACAATACCACACATCCTCCACACTCTTCCCATCCTCGCCATCCTCTATCCAGCACTTCCCACAACTACCACTCTCCCCTTCACCTCTCACCCACCCGGCCACCATACCCCTCGCTCTCGCAAACCTTTTGCAGAGGAATCTCTACTACACCTACCCTCTACCCAGCTACCTCCCTCCCTAGTAAATAAACCCCCAGTGCAAGTTCTCGCTGCGCCGCCCCCAACCTCCCTCCACTCGCTTTTACCTTTTGCCGCCTTTTCCCAATCTTAATTTTCTCCCATATTATATTCCATATCATACTCCCTACTCAATTGAATTCTAGATATCAAGAATGGCATTCTGCCATATTGGGTATATTCATCGTTGTACCCCATGAAACTTAATAGACCTACCAACCTACGTAGATAGACAAGATAGATAGATAGATAGATAGATACAGAAATCCCGATATAATTATCACTGTAATCCGTACAAATTTACAATTACAAGAGATAAAATCACAGATTTTCTACGAGTACAGTATCTGGAGAGTAGCTACCTAACTAGATATTCTCCCATACATATGTACATCCATCAAACAGTAACAACTAGGTATGTATCTAAATAGACATACTTTATACAGTGCAATTACATCCACCCATCCTCCCGATCCCAAAACTTTGGTACAGAATCAACAACGAAACGGTTGAACCGCATCCCATTTCGTACCTTACCTTACCTTGCCTACCTAGTATCTAATTACCTACTCGAGCTCTACGTAACCGAAAAAAGCGGCGGAAATTGACCACTATTCAAAAGAACTTTAACAACTAAGATCTCTTCTCGATATAATTTTAAATAATAAAAACATTTAATATCAATACAAAAAGGACTCAAATTTTTGTATGCTTTTTTCAAATTTCAATATTTAATTTGAAATGAATTTATAATCTATTAAAAAAGATCTTTGAAAGGGTACTCAATTTCCGCCGCTTTTTTTGGTTACGTAGAGTCGAGCTACTCCATATGCTGCACCCAACAATCAGCCAATCCAATCCAATCAATCTAATCTACCTCCACACACCCGAGCAAGACATCTTGCACATGCATGCCATGCAAACTCCCACGCGTAATGACAATACGATGCGGCTCTTTTGAAATTTATTACTTGTTACTTGTTATTTGTTACTTCTGATATTGTATATATATATTTTATATTCACATCTCTTCCAGAATCTAGAATCTCCACCCATCTATCCATCTATCCATCATCCATCATCCATCATCCATCCAATCGATCCAATCGATCCAATGATCTCCCCCATCTCCACATCTACGCACCATCTCTGCATCTAAGCCAAGACTAATAATATCTAAACTTCTAATCTCTACCTACTCCTACAACACACTCCCCTCCAAATACTGCATTGCATGTATTGCTATATATACATGTGTCTCGCCTCCATATTCAACACCCTTTCCACTTTTCCACCAGATACACATAAATAACCATGACCAACTCAAGAGCCACGAGAGATACCACCCACAAAAAGTAGAAAGACAGAAACAAAAGAGAAAAAAAACTCCAAACACTATGCTAAACGCTATCAATATTCCACAGGTATGTGCATCTAAACGCCCCAGATCAAATCAAATCAAATCAAAAACTCCATATCTCCAAGTCCAAAATTGTGGAATTCGATTTTCCCAAACATTTAAAGAATTCGAACAAAGCCCATCAAGGGTTTATGCTCATAGTGTTTTATTTTCCATGTCCGTTTACTGGTCATGGTTAGTTAGTTATACGAGGCCATTCCGATCGATCAGCTGGATGTCGAGGTAATACGTCTTCTCCCGTCACCGTTGAACGAGGTGCTGCCTCAATTACATAATCAATGCCATCATCAGACATATATGACGGGGGACGATTAGCCGTCGAGGGACGTTCGGATATTCGAGAGATGGAACGATTTAACGCTGCTTCATTTCTTTGCCAGAAAATCCGATTTGGATCAACCCTCTATTTATACTGTTAGATGATCGTGTCACGTCTTCACTACGGATTGAAGTTACTTACCACCGACTCTCTCCATAATCCATAAGCTGGAGGCGGCACTTTCGTAGCTTGACTTTCAATACCTGCTGCTTCTTCATCTCTGGCGAGCGCGACGGGTATAGGGACTGAGGTTTCGGCATAACCTCCAGGTCCAACCATCGATGGGAGACGTCGTGGATTTGGTTCTCTCTCTATCGGCGGTTTCAAGATCATCATACAGAGGCGAGTCAAAGAATGGCAGAAGAAGATAGTAACTATCAAGATAATCAAAATTAAGAGAACGTGAAATTGTTGGCTCTCATCCTTATCTGACAATGCCAATGCAAGATATATCGTGAGCACCAAAACGAGAAACTATAAATTACATTAGAAAATTGTGGGGGAAAAGAGATGTGGAGAAAAATGCAACACATACCAGCCCAGATATTAAGGAATGCAATATCTTTTGGCGTATTCTTTTGTTCCGGATTCTTGGCGCACAGCCTCTCCCACTTTCTTGCGTTCCCCTTGGAGTTCCCCTTCTTCTCCTACCTCTATCTGCTAAGTCGGCTAGATGCTGCTCAGCAGGATCTACACTAAGAAACCTGCGCTCCGATCGTCTTCGCACTCGAGGTGGTATTGTCGAAATGGGAGACGACACTGCTGGAAGTTGTGTAGATTGTGAGAGTCTACTATTGGAACGAGTCGCGACAGGAGGAGGACGACGTTCTTCATGTCGAGGTAATGTTGGTTCAGCAGCAGCAGAGTTTCGGCGCGTCGAGCTTCGACTTGTAGTAAGGCCCGGAATATGGATTCGAGTTGATGGCAGATTGCTAAGGCCAACCAATCGTGGAGCTTTTGGACTTTCTGGGGAAGAACTCCTAGCCTCAACGCTTGATCGTCCCGAGAACATCGAATTTAGCCCCCCTCGAATTTCCTCCAACCTCGACTGACGCCTATCCGATTCGCCCGATGGCACATCCCTCTGTCCACTCTCATTCTGTCGTGGAGGCATTTTCATATGCTACTTCGAAATATGTCGCGAAATTAGTGAATAGAGACAATGTGCGATTGAAACAATATCCTTCCTTCTTAAGAAAATTAAGTTGCTTTTGTTGTTTGCGCTACCCACGGCGCCCCCGAGTTGTTTTATTTTCCACAGCGAGAGGTTAGGCCCTGTCAACACGACCTTGTATGATATAACACGAAGACATTAGATCGAAGAAAAGGTGAAATTATCGTGGTAAACAAATCTACCCGTCCTCATTGCACGCCCGAATCGAAAAGCCAGCAATCGTTCGCAAATCAGTATCCACCAACCGACAGGATATGCAGGTAGGCAGCAGAAGGATCCGGAAAGAATATGGGGAAACTGTGATGTAAAGTAACAAACCCAGATGCACAAAAGAAAGCGCAAAGACCAAGAGATGACCAAGAGAGTGAAGAGTGAGAGAACAATACGAAACGTCCGAGAGAGAACTCCTTCGCTCTACGAATGAGTCTCGAATAGTCAGAAATTGCTTCGAAATTGACCACTAAAAAGGGACGTAAGGGTAAGAAGGAACGGAGAACACAGCTCACGGACTTCAAGCTCAAGCAAGATATGCAAATATACACAAGATGCGAACAAAAAAAGACAGGATAGGAGAAAAAGCTTTGGCCGATGATGATGATTTCAGTGGACTGTACCAGGTAGTTAATTTCGTCCCAGTCACTACTCACTCCTCTATTTTGGTAGGCAGAGAAAGAACGACAGAACCCCCTCAAGAAGCTGGCTAATAATTATTGATCTCTCATGTCTCATAGAAGACGACTAGAAGATGGCCATGGGTAGCAAATAATTTGATACAATACCGGATAAATCTGCGACGAAAATAACAGTGGCCCTGCATATCAAGATGTTTGACATATTTCCAATTGCGAGCCGCATTCAGGGATGTAAGGATGTGACTTGTAGATTAAATTTGTTTGGGTCTAAATGAAGTTTGACCTGGGACATATTTAGTTCGAGGTGAAGCCTTTCAAATCTTAAGTCTGTTTCAGGTGAAGGTTGTGATCCACCAATCAAATTTCTTCCTTCTTTCTTTTTTCAGGGGGTTGAGCTCGTCTAATTGATTAACCGCGCTGCTTATGATGAAAGGTCAAGACCTTGAAGTTTTGAAGAAAACGCTATGATTTATGCAGAGAGCACGGATTAGAAACATCTAGATTACCTACATAGGTAGGTAGGTAGGTATGTAATGATTTCAGTAGCAAGAAATATGAAAGTACGGTATGCATCTCACGAATGCAGTCAATTCACATGAGATATTCTTGGTGTTTACACAGGTGTTTGATGATACAATCTACACATTTATCTGTACTTCTATATTTTTACAGATAAGATCCAGCCACCCAGCTCCATACAAATTTTTAATTTTGCAGATCTCGTACTGTGGCGATTTTAATCAGCAATATATTGCGTGGCTTGAACCAAATATATTGATTTGGATTGGTGAGGGGTAAAGGTATGAATGCTTTTCATAGCATTTATCCATGCTTGTTCAGGTCTTCCAACTCTCTCGTATCAATTACACCATTGCCGTCGATTGAAAACATCTGTAAGGCTAACCCTACTCGCATGCGCAATCCCCACCTATCCCCTCAACGCCTTCCGAATGGTTTGCAGAGCTTTTCGTAAGCTTCAAAGTTCCTGATTCCTAAACTCCGAGTTTCTGCAAGATTTTTGTGGTTGGGTATCTTTTCATTGACTTTGACCTCCTCCTTATCTCACTTCAATTCTCCCAAGAGCAATGTACGGTCCGAAGAAGCGGTTAGAACTAAAAGATTGTTAGTAACATAAGGTGCAGATTTGGAGGAGGAAATCTTACTTATAGGATCTTTACCAGGCGATAACTCGGCACAGTTAACCGTTCCTTTATGACCAGGTAATTTGTACAATATTTTACCGTTCTCATTGTTCCAAACAACAGCAGTGCCATCTCCAGCACCAGCCGCGATTTTCTTTCCAGTCGGATCCCAGCTTGCCCGAATCAAATTCTTCTCCATTCCTGCCGGCGCGCCATCAAAAGTTCGGATATGTCGTTCAGTGGGCGCAAATGGTCTGATATCCCATGTTCGAACCGTCGAGTCCATGGAATTCGATAAAAGTGTTTGAGAATCAGGCGAAACTCGAAGCGATGTAATCGTATCTTGATGGCCAAGCATAGAATATACCACAGCCTTTCTCCTCATGTCCCACACCTTGATATCATTGTCAATCCCACCGGAATACAACTCATTTCCAGCTTCAGCTAATGCGACAGCCGTGACAGGGAACTCAGTAGGGATGAAATCGACAGCAGCTTTTGTCCTTGGATCCCAAATACCTATATAACCATCGTCTGATCCACTTATGAGAAGTTCCTCTCCTCTTTTACTGATATCCATGCAATTGATTACTTCTTCGTGTCCAACATGTCTTCGTATCCTTGTACCGGTTTCTAAATCCCAACTGGCTAGATGCATGTCTGCAGATGCTGAGAACAAGGCCGTCGAGTCGCGCGACCATTGTAAATCTAATATTGCGCCCTTATGCCCGGTTAAAGTTCCGTAGTTTTCGCAATCTCCATATGTTCTCCATAAATCTACAAATAATCAGTATGCACGCAATAAAGAACTAATACGTGATACTCACTAATTGATCTATCCATTGACCCTGAAGCGATGTAGTTTCCATTGGGATCGAATTTGGCAGCAAATACCTCTCCTGAATGCCCTTCCAATTGCATCACTGGAGCTTGTAAACCACTCGTCCGAGGTACCTATTTTACAAAGGTCAGTCAGGCGCCTCGCAGATAGCGGATTATACCATCAATATTGATAGGTACGTACTGCTTGAATGAGCGCACCATTGCCAGTTGAACCATTTGTGGTGGATAAAGCTGTGCTCTCATTGCCTACATTCTGTCTCTTCACAACCATCTGAGATGATCCAAAGGATCCAGAAGCTGGACGTTTTCCAGAAGACATGATTATAGCTTCTTCCTTCAAGCTACGCGTGATTTTTCGAGAAATGATATGGATGTTTTAAGCTGCGCGTTGTTGGCACCAAGGCTCAGTAGCAGAACGCAATATGAATTTCTAAAAAAGTACGCTAAAGTGCGGCCGCCTATCCGGCTTGTGCCTGGACCAGCTTCCAGCTTCAATGGGAATATTATTATGTAGCAAGAACAGCTTCGGAACATGAATTGATTTCACAACCCGATTTCAAGTGCAGTTTAAGAATTATAAGACACAAGTATGGCTTCCAACAAAGCCGCGAGGATGGGCGAGGAGTAAGTAATCTCTTGTCAGTCATCAAGACGACATATACTAATGCGCAACTCAGGGTCTGGAAGTAAGTACACCAGCAGCACGAGAAACACTTGCCATATCTCACGATGGCTAATCAGCATCCAGAAGTCGTGTAGACAAAGTCAATGCCGAGCTAGTCACTCTCACCTATGGAACCATTGTCGCACAACTTTGCAAAGATTACGAAAATGATTATGTAGAAGTCAACAAACAACTCGATAAGATGGGTTATAATATTGGGCTACGTTTAATCGAAGATTATCTCGCCAAGTCAAATACCATGAGACGTTGCTCGAACTTCAGAGAGACTGCGGAGATGATTTCCAAGGTACGGCTTCAATTGGTATTGTGCGGACTTTGCGAAGCATACCTAGTGCTGATAGAAAACAATAGGTTGGGTTTAAGATATTCTTGAACATCACCCCAGCGGTATCGAACTGGACGAGCGATAACAAACAATTTTCCCTAATATTCGAAGAAAATCCCTTGGCCGACTTTGTAGAATTGCCAGACGATGGAAGAGCACAAGATGAGTTATGGTATTCGAATATTCTCTGTGGGATTTTGAGGGGTGCACTGGAGATGGTACAAATGCAAGTTGAGGCTCACTTCATCAGTGATATTCTTAGGGGTCATGATTCAACTGAGATGAGAATTACTTTGGTCAGGTATATTGATGACGAGATGCCAATGGATGATGATTAGGAATCGGGTTGTTCTAGGCGGCGTGCATATTTCTGGCGTTTAGGGATGGGTGTATCATTGCGAGGATTTTGAAGACATGGGATCTTTATGGCTCAAGGTAGATTATAAAATCTTTGATTTTAATGTCAAAAACTAATGTATGATGTTGAGACTGTGTAAACTTGGTAGTTCGGTAAAAGTATCTATCTACGTTGATGACTTGGTAAGATGTGTTTGTCGGTATCTTGGCGTGATCGTTGGCCCATCCTAATTTTTTATATATCTTCTAGCCTGCTTGACAACTCGACAACTTTCGTCTGGAAGTTTGACACCTCATGAATTGGAGCGAGAGTTGGGTATGGAGATTGGCAAACTATCGTCCGTTGTTGTCGGAGAATGGACAATGACTGAAGTGGCATTCAAAATAAGGAAATAAGGGTCACAATGCATGAGTTTAAATGAAGCCGGCGAGGTGCTGGGGATGCTGATGAATCAAATTGTAGCTGCAATTCAAATTCTCATGGTATAGTATTCATTATAATGAAATAGATGGGGTTGATAGAACAGTTCAATAGATAAGTTAGGGTTCGCTCCTCTCTTAGCTCCAGAAAAGAGGCAGTCGTGAGAGAAGAAAATTCTCAGCGGTGGAGCGGAGGATGGGGTGCCGTTGAAAGGAATGCTTCATCGATGGGAATCTCAAAAAGGATCATATTATCACTGTGAATGAGACCAACTAAAGCTCAGTGGCTCAGAAGATTCAACTATGAGGCTCAGTAGTACGTCACAGGTCGCTACAGAGGCATCTTTTTCCTTGTCTCAACGCGAAAATGGGCAAAATCACTCGCAAAACCGTGGGCAAAGGTTTGTCTGTAAGGAGGGAAGGACTGAAATGATGGGGGCATGGTATTTGGGTTGGGTCTGTACAAGTTGTCTCATAGTCTTGATCAACCTTCAAGCGGTTTTTACTGTTTCACAAAATGTATGAAGTACAAGCTAGCTGGCCGGAAGAGCTCCAAAACAATCATTTTGCAAACAGACGAAGAAGAAGCTGGCGAATCTGAGTCCAAGGTCGTAACCCACCACCCAGGTCTCAGAACTTGAACGCAACGGAGGTTCGAGGACTACATCTTCCATAGGAATCTAGAGAAGAATAAAGGACTCTTAACAGAACAAGAAGCGAGGGATTACTCTTTCATTATGAGTGCGTTTACCACTTTCCATCTCAAATTTACATAGGTAGCTATCTTTTTAGTGATAGTTAGGACGAGAAGTAGATGATCCGTTCTCGTCATGCTAAACCTTTAAACCTCAGATTTTGACCGTCATCTCAGATAACATACGTCACAAATATCATTGCCACTTCAAAGTTTCGGAAGACATAGCTGTTATATGCTCAATTCTCTTTGTCATTGCACCACGATCATTCAAAACGTGGAATCCTAGACTTTCCGGAGTGTATGCACCATGGAGGCGAAGTTTTGAGTGTCACAGATATAAAAAACTAGGCGATGATCATCGAGATTCGATTCAAGTGTCGACACTGTGATCCATCATAAAATGGTATCATGGATTTTGATAGCTTCAGTCCATCTACACTTATAGTCTTGACGGGAAGCAAAGGTTTATGTAGAGTGAGGTTCAAGTTGTTCCAGTATGCAGATCCTGCCATTGAAAATTGCTTTGAACTTGTAGTTTTAGCGAATCCCCCATGACATTCCAAACACCACTCAGCGCATCTACAGACACGCGCAACGTCTTTACGGTGCTACAGAGGGGTAGAAACTTAATTTCTGGTCATCAAGCATTGGAAGAAGAGAGTGCTTGTTAATGGTTTCATTCACGAGAGGCATGGTTGTCATTACACACATGGAAGACAAGGGGTCATGAAGGGGATAGGCATAGTAGTTGAGATGCTCGAAGTAGATAGGCAGAAAACAACAATGGGCTACTTCAAGGAATACATATGGCGATAGAAAACTTGGAAAACCCACTGCGTTTTGATGTGCGAACAAATTAGACTGCTTGCGAAGGCGGACCTGGCAAAGGATACTAAAATTTCAGGGGCCGCAAGCGAGCTGAAAGAGTCAAACACTGGAATTGATGAAACGCTCTACACCTGTGGTGTCCACTAATGATAGCAGTGTATAGTCTGGCTTTACTAAAGCAAAAACAGCTAGTGCCGTCCGCGATCGCGCGACCTTGTGCTTAGATGAAAGGAATCTCCGAGCGTTTATGGATGGGACATCTTGAGTTCAATGGCTCTGATTGCTTCGATGCTACTAATGGTTCTCCACTGCGAAGTATAGTCACCTCGTCTGTTGCTATAATCCTTCGATCTGGTGCTTGCAATATGATGAAAGGAACTGACTGGCAAAGAGATTGTTAGCTGCGACAGCGGCGTGTGCAGCGATTTGAGTGGTGTTTGTTGGTACATCTATGAGCCCTATTAGTCAAGGAATCTTTGCTTTCTACATACATGGATCTCGAAATGTTAAACGTGAAAATTCACAATTGACATGTCCACCAAAAGGGTCTTCTACGGGACTTTAAATTGAGCGGTCAAGATAAAATAATGTCTCACATGATCACTTTTAGGTACAAGTTTGCTAGCAAGGCGTTGAAATTTCTTAGGTACTGCAGATGTGCCAGTATCTATCTTGTTTGCATGCATGGTCATAAACCAAAGCTAATATTGATAGTGTTCTTCTCCATGAGCATCAGCTTGAGGAATGAATGTTACAATATGACATGCTGAATAGATCATGAACCTCACCATCAAAAGATTTCTGTCTCTCGTTTAGAACAACCACATCAGCCACCGTCAAAATATCCTCTCCCCTATAAAGCAATCTCCCTACGGCCATAAACAATCTAAATTTGGCACCACTCTCATCTTCTCTCCTTCGACACTTTAGCAGTCTGCTTAGTTGGCATTTCATGCTTGCAGTAAAAACCTCCCTACATATGATATATGTGTAGATGCTCACGCCCTAGATGTGTAGGTACGGAACTTGGAAGGTCGATTATCGATGAAGGATAGATCGATGAAATTCGATATTGGTTGCTGGCCGCACAGAGCAGCGAAGAGCCATCTGTTGATCCGGAAGGAATATCCTTAGTATATCATGATTATGATGTCCTATGAGAATGGACCTTGTCAACGTAGAATCAGTCATAACCTCCTCCGATCTGGCTTGCAAATGCAGTAGAAACACTCTTTTCATCATCATCGAAACGACGACCACTTAGTAGAGAGCTTGTGCCAAAGACACTGCCAGCATCGCCAGTTTTGTAATCAGCAATGCGACCACCTGATTCAACGTATCGCTTCAAGCGGTCAGATTGACTCAAACTAGTTTGCTTTTGTCCTTCGTGAACGCTAACACCGAGGCTAACACCTCCTTGACCAATGCCTCTGCCATCTGTAACACTACTGCTTGTGACATCAGTGAACTCACTAGCGGCAACGGATTCTCCAGCTATGCTCTCAGGTCCACGCCCACGACCCTTTTGGCCATTGGCACGTGGACCTCGTGAGTCAAGACCAGGCCAATTGTCAAGACCGGTGAGAGGGAAGTTACCAAAGCCGGCAGGATAAGCGGATCCGACACCCACGCCGCCGAGATGGGATGAGTGAACCGAAGAAACGTCATCCAAAGCAGAACTCATCATCGAACCAGTATCAGTGAAATCCTGTAGTGGAGGGGCTTTGTTATTGCCATTTCGGCCGTTGTGTGGCAATCCCATTTGATAACGTTGTGGGCCACGGTAAGTTGTCTTTGGACGACTAAATTGTAGAAGCGATGTTTGCAAGTTTGAAAGTGGACCTTCAACAAGACAGCTACGATCCTTGAAATGTTGCAACAAGTAATGCCATAGAGGATGCTTTGACAAAACCTTTGGATTACCAACAATGACAAGACCGTACTTGGCACGTGTCAAAGCTACATTGAGACGTCTAGGATCACTCAAGAAACCAATACCTTGATGATCGTTAGATCTTACACAAGAAAGAATGATGAAATCTTTCTCTCGTCCTTGGAAGGCATCCACAGAAGCGACCTCAACCTCCTTATAGTGCTCTTTCTTAAAAGAACCAGCATTCTGCATAGATGTCACGACATAACTGCGTTGCCCTTCATATGGAGTGATGACGCCAATATCTCCAGGTTGGACTCCAGCCTTGAAAAATCGAGTAACAATCTTCTCAACATTTGAGGCTTCAGTTCTGTTGAGATAAGAAGTACCCGAAGCAGAGATTTCCTCGTTACCAAGATTGGACCAGAACATCATGGGTGTATCGGCTACAGGCCAAGGGAAATCTACATCACGACGAAGTCGTTGTTGCATTGTGACACCGTTTTGTAGAGAACCATCGTAGAACATGTTAGACGGAAATTCAGAAAGACATGGGTGCATACGATACTGAACGTTAAGTCGGATGGGGTTGAGGCCGAGGTGGACTAAACGCTCGAAGAGTGACTGGTTCAGACCTGCCTTTGCGGCCTTCTTGTTCATGATGACGGGTCCCAATTGTTGATGATCTCCAACCAGAACCACTTGTTTGCATCCCAGAACAAGTGGAATCATACATTCTGGTTCTGCGGATTGAGTAGATTCATCGATGAGGACTGTTCTAAATTTCATTTTGGCAAGTCTTGGGTCTCCGGCTCCAACACAAGTACAGCAAATAACATCAGCGTTGCTCAAAATCTCACGTTCGGCAGCTCTTGTCAATGCCTTGAACTTCTTCTCATCTTGACTTGACAATTCCCCCAACTCGCTCTTCAACTGAGTAAGTTTGGCCAACTCGTGATTGCTATCATTCATGCGGACCTGCTCATGCAAAGAGAGGAAACCAACAGATGACTCGACATCTTCACGGGATTTGGCTGTAAGACGAACAACTTTGAGTTGAGTTCGATGTATACGCTCACAAAGTTGATCGACGGCAACGTTAGAAGGAGCACACACAAGAACTTGACCACCATTGACCTTAGCCAAATGATAAATGACTGTGGCTGATGTGACTGTCTTTCCAGTTCCCGGAGGTCCTTGAATGAGACTCAAAGGCTTTTGCAATACGCTCTTGACGGCGCTGATTTGACTGCTGTTCAATTCTGGTAGACCAGGAACGCTGAATTTCTTGGGCATTTGAATTTTCATTGGAGCTGCGGCCACCTCGTGACCGAGAAGTTTGTGGAAAATGTACCCTGATACACTCATTTCGTCCACGGCGAAAGTCTTCATGGCAAACTGCATGCGGTCGTAAGATGTTGCTTTCCAGACATAGTCGGCAGAAAAGTTGTGGGTGCATTCTGTTGGGACTGATTTATCGTTGCCAACTTTTCGTAGTTCGATGGTCACTTCATCAGATTGATTGTTCGGAATTTTGACCACATATCCAACACCCTCCCAGACAGGTCGTAGCTCGCCTTTGTATTTGAGTCGCATCTCATCGCCTACGGCGAGCTTTACATCACCAAGCTCTATCTTTGGAAGAATGAAACTGGCCAAATGCTTGTTATTCAAACCATAATCCCAACGAATGATTAAACCATCTTCAGATTGAGCTTCCTTAAGCTTGCGGTCGTAATCTGCCTCAATCTTGACTAAAGGTCCGAAGACATTTTGATATTGATAGGCATCATCGTATTTAAGAAGGACAGGGGCTGGATCATCATCAATTCCAGCAGCTTTTTCCAAATCGGAAAGGGTAGCGTTAACATTGTCCTTCCACATCTCCTCCAACTTTGCAATCATTGGCGGCGTGAGATGTCGGGCGCGAAGCTGTTCTGCGTCTGTAGGAAGAGAGACAAGCCAAGACAAAAAGGATCGATCCTCAATCAACGGTTGCCATTTGGACACATCCCAACTCATATCCTTCGAAGATGGAGCAGAGGCGCAAGGTTGACGGCATAGAAGAACCACCACTGTATCCGATTTCGCAGGAATGAAGCCGAGGAGAAAAACATTTTTTATACCGCAGTTGTAGCATTCCAGTACAGTATCTCCGAGGGTCGACATTGGGTGTAATTGAACTTCCTTATGTCTTGCGCGAACAAGGTGATTGACAATATGCGAAGATGTAGCATTTCCACGGGCACTGCAGAACCATTTGTTGCATCCCAAGCACTTAACCACACAGCTTGGAGAGTGAATCCCACAATATCTACACATCAAATCAGCCCGGCTCAGGACAATTTAGATCGTTGATAGTTCAACTTACGCGCATGCGTGTGCTGGTAGTTCCTTCTCATCCTCAAGACCTCGAAGCCCAAGAGTTTTCATACCATCGACTGGAACACTTGCAAGACTCTCGGTATCATCGTCATCGAATACTTCCGTCTCGTTGTCATCATCATCGCTTCTTCGTCTGCTGGATCCCAAACCACCATGACCTCCGTATTGACCATATAACAAGCTTTCATCCGGATCAATGTTTGAGAGATCATCTGCACCGGCGTTGATTGCTGCAGCAGAATCGGATATGAGGTGGTTCCCAACGTGGGCGAAAGCGCTTTCCATGATGACAGTATCTCTAGATACTACGCAAAACAGTAAAAATTAGAACCAGCTGTAGTCCAGGGGAATAGAAGAAGAAATCGAATTAACCATTGGAGATCCCGCTATAATACAGTGAAAAATTAATGCTTACAATAGATTGGATAAATTCCTTATGTTTGTGGAGGTAGCCTTTGTGGCGGGAGGGCGGCGCAAAGGTTTTGGAGATATTCTTAAAAGCCGGACAAGACTTTCAAGTCATTATCGTAACTTTGACCGTAATTCACAACTTGTCCTGCAGAAGTTTGATATCTCTTGTATGATATTGAGGAGCCCAGAAGGTATTTTACCAATGTTGGTCGGGTTGGTGGAGTACTCGAGAAGAGATGCACAGTTGCTTTTTTGATTGTGGGATTTAATAAGTGACATTGCTATTTGGGTGCTTAGCGCGTGCTGATACTGATACCGATACCAGCCGATAAAGGTTTGTGATGGAAACTTTTTTTTTCTGCTTGACCTCACAAAAAAGCTTCATACTACCCCCCTCGAAATACAAACTCTCTTTAAGTCAAATAGACCATTGCGAAAATGATTGTAAGTTGTATTCACATCAATCATCATATACTTATTTCCCTGTAATGTCGTTCCCAATCCAATTGACTAATACATGCTGTGTTCTATAGCGCAAACAAGCTCGACAACGACGAGATTACCTCTATCGAAGAGCCTTAACACTTCGAGATGCTGAGATCAGTGAAAAGCGCGCAAAGCTTCGAGCCTCTTTAGCATCAGGCAAACCTTTAGATCCATCGATTGCGAATGATAAAAAACTACGAGAAGATTATAAATATGATGAATCACGACCAGATTTGACGGCAAACGAGGAACTTGACTTAGACGATGAATATGCTCAACTTTCTGGAATCGTTGATCCCAGAGTACTGATCACAACTTCAAGAGATCCTTCATCAAGACTTTCTGCCTTTGCGAAAGAGATCAGATTATTGATACCAACTTCAATCCGTCTAAATCGAGGAAATCTCATTTTACCAAGTCTAATTACATCCGCCCAAGCATCTGGACTTTCTGATATCATCCTCCTCCATGAACATCGTGGTACACCAACAGCCTTGACGCTTTCACACTTTCCTCATGGGCCCACGATATCATTCTCTCTACACAATGTTGTTTTGCGCCACGACATCCCCAATAGCTCCCGTGGTACGGTCAGCGAGTCTTATCCCCATCTAATCTTTGAAGGCTTTACATCAAGATTGGGTCTTCGAATCGTCAAAATCTTGAAGCATATCTTTCCCCCAAGAGAAGCGATTACAAATAAAACGAAAATGGGAAGCAGAGTTGTCACATTCAAGAATATTGAAGATAGTATCGAAGTTCGACACCACGTGTTTGTTAAGACGGGATATCAAAATGTGGAACTCGCAGAAGTTGGACCTCGTATGACGATGAGATGTTTCGAAATTAGAGGAGGAACTTTGGAGAATAAGGATGGTGATGTTGAATGGAGGATGAACCAATATACGAGGACTTCCAAGAAGAAGGACTACCTGTGAGAGTCTGGGATATGGTTATTTGCTTGTTTGTTTAGCGTGGAGTTTGGTGGTATCAACTTACTGTTGCGAGGTTCAAAAGATTACAAGTCGAGGTCCTTCTCCATCGACATATCTACCAAAGATTGTGACAAAGAAAGAAATATCCGCAGATAACAGAGGTAGTAGCCATATGGTCGCGACGACTCTGCATGCCTCGTCTACCGATATGGAAAGAATCGAGAATGTACCAAGGAGGGGTTGATGCATCATGGGTACGATGTGATCTGAAAACAGTCTATGGTTGGGCATTATTCAGATCCCCTCATTTCTGCTACCTTGTTATGCATTTCGGCTTCTTTGTTCCAACTTCGGTTATGAGCGAAGCAAACAAAATTAGTGTAGGTGTCTAGATGCATATGTTCAATCACAATGTTCATTAATTTGTCTTTCAAGCTCTTTCAACGCTTTGTCGTAGTTGTCTTTGAACATGCTACTCGTCAAAGATGCTAATTATCCATCGACAGAAATTGGAATTGAGCCAAACGGCAAAAGTCGAGTTTGTTTTATGTTCTTCATGTTTGTTTGCGCAAGCATTCGACCAAAATAGGAGATATAAAATGATTCTGCGGATGCTCCGAGGCTCCTTGGCTGCCCAATTCAAATCTTGGCATATTCATATCTCTCCACCTTCAAATATTTCAAAATCTTTTATCGTGTGTGTGTGTGTGTGTGTGTGTGTGTGGATCTGATGCATACCAAGTTTTTTTCTTTAAATGAATTTTTAATTGTGGCCTTTCCATTGTTTACTTGCCGGACACAATTTTTCCGTTCACGATTTAGGACCATGCGAGTTTTCGAGATGAGAACGACTCCATCGCGTATTGTGTTCCTATCAGGGGCAACGAGACGAAGTTTGCACTATTGCTGTCATGGACACAAATCCTCACAATGTTTTGGGAATATATTGACAGATACAGGGGCAACACGAGATAACCTTGCTTCGAATTTTGTTGTAAGAAATCGATTCATACTGCAGTCTTAAACCCTTTCAAAGTCTTTTTCAATATTATCAAAGGCAATGCTGACACGAGCAATGGCAGCACTCTGTTCCCGTAGTCTACTTCTATCCTTCGTGTGTAAGCAAGACATCACATAACTTCGTGGTGTTCAGGGTTCAGAATGACAGGCTCAAATTGAAGGAACATGCTAAAGTAACCCTAAACCTACCTTGTTACCTCTGGACAGAAAGGTTAGCGAGATCAATGGTCACTGTAAGAGCTGACAGCCCCTTCACGATTTCACAGCCGTTCCTATCTGAACAATTAGGTTGCAATGCTTATGTCCGCAAGGATTATATGAACAGGCGCGCAAGATGAAACCCAATCTCGGGTTTAAGCCGAACCGCGTTACCATCGCGACTGGTTCATCTGAATGAGATCTTATCTGGATTAGATTCCCTGTGACCATGTGGAATACCCTGCATTCCCTTGTTTACGACGTACTTTGTACAGCTTTCCTTCTTGTATTGTTCATCATTACTTCTTTTGGGAGCCGACATCATTCTTAGTTCAGCTCATCGAATTCCGAGTCCTGAATTTTCCAGCGCGTAATAAAGTGTTATTTTACGTATGGTACAATTAGTCACAAAGTCTTTGTGATATGTACTTGAAGAAATCTCTCGCGAAATACGAGATGGCAATCCAAACTACCTACTATGGAAGGAATCAAAGTTCTGGTAATATATTAGATGCTGTTCGTTGTTGCCTCTTTAGAATTGTTAAGGTAGTTCCATACAGAGTGGGGGGGGGGGGGGGGGGAAGGAGGTTCAGGGGTCTACTTTTCACAAAACCTTCGGCAAAAAGGAGGAGTTAGTCGCAGCAGTGGCTCCACCATCAGGAAGTAAGGTTCCGATCAATTGTGGATTCACGATCATTGCTTGTTTACTCCGTAAGCCCCATCAATCATGTGGCTCAGTAGTTCCTGAGGATGTTTCGTCTTGCCCTATCAAAAACCGAACTCTTAGCTTTATCAACGCTTATTCGCAATACAATACTGTTTTCTTCATCCTTGTATTCTTGGCATTCATTTACGGTCCCGAAACTTGAAGATGATGATATGTTGTAAAAGTTTACAAATTAATATTCACGAACTAATCGAACTACTCAACGCAATCGACCCAGTATTCATGCACGATGTATGTTGCAGGTCATTTTCTTTACCTTAAAAGTTCCGGACATTTCCTTCACTTTCAAAATTCCGGCCCGGCTCTTTAACTACAACCTGTGCAATGTCAGTAGGTACAATCTTGATTAGATGGGAAGTCCTGGTATGTCTTGGCATATCTCGGTCAACTGCCGGTCCTGGGGGTTCCCTTGACAATACTATGATACTATACTACAATACACTATTCGCGGGGTGGTATCAAAAATCCGATATTGAAAAGCGTCGTAAGCTCTATCAAGTCCCCTAATCATAACCCATGCGAGATAAAGGTGCACAGACGGTCCCCAAAAGCCTTTTGCCTGCCTTTTCTAACTGGATTACGATTTTTCTGGGGATATTTGAGTAGTACGTGGACTGAATCTGTGCTGTGTCCGGAGATCGTCATATAATTTTACCTGTTCCTCAGAGTTTAATGTACTTTAGGAAGTGATCAATACAGATGAGGCTCAAGCAAACGGCAACTAATGAAATCTGAAATCTACGTTCATACAAGCTTAATCCTAAAGCTTAAGGCGTCGTCTTGTACATTCGGTAAGGTACCCGAAGGATTTTATATGCAACAGCGCGATTACGAAGTACAAGGAAAAGGAAACTTTGAGTGGGCATATTGAGTATGAAATCTTACCAACTCAACAGACCGTGCCTGCTACTCATTAGTATATCACTCACCATTCTGGAACCAGTTTTGTAAAAAGTTACTTTCATTATCGATTCTGAGAACGGTTATGAAATATGGAACCCAAGCCGGGGGCGAAAGCCTTCCGCTGTGGGCTGAGGAGGCTTACCGACTGTGTGAATTCTTAGCACAAATCTATAATTCGTGTACCTGCAGCCACCAGTAAGCAATAGTTGCGCCGTGTAAGTTATCGATTGTGACTGACGTGTGAGGACTTACCGATGAGGAAAAAGTGGCTTGTGAATCCTTGCGGCTTATAACCACAATGTGAGAAATAATTCTCCGAGTTGTTGTGCTCACTACTTCAAGCAACGAACTTTCCGTCAGGCCCCGAAAGACCGAGATGAATGCAGATCATCGAATACGCTCAAATGTGGTAATCCTTCCAGCCAAAGGATTGACGAATGTTGATTGTTTCAACAGCAGATGTTCTTTGAATATGTCTCCACGGTTTTCGGCACGAACTGCTGTCTTCCCCTGGAGTAGTCTATTAATGTATCTTTGATGGCGCTAACATAGCTCCGCGTTGGGAAGCATTGTCCATTTCTTCAACTCTTCCATATTTCAGATGGATCTTGAGGTTCTCACCATGCATCTGACTTACCACATTCGTAAGCCAAGAGATGTCACTGGCAACAAAAGCAAAAATTCTAAAGACATACTGCACATGGATGGGGTTGAGAGAGTACGTATACCTCCCATGCAATGCAACCCAGCACGGCGACAAAGCATTCAAGGCTACGCGAGCCATCAGGACAATATCGGACTTCACTATGTTGCCGTCAACGTCTCGAACCTAAGCTCAGAGGTGGATACGAAGCTGACGGGTCGGTCTAATTTCAAGAGCTTCACTTTTCTATAAAGTCAAGATGTTTCGCCATGAAATTCCTCTCTTCAGTCCTCATCTCATCCTCACCACAGTCTCTTCTTCACAACTCCCTATCTGGAGAACACAATCTTTTCAGTCGTTTTTTGTTTAATTCATAATCATGAAATATTCTACAGTCTTTACTGCCCTCACTGCATTCTTTGCACAGGTATCTGCATCAGCTATTCCAGTTGTTCGTTCACCACTCACTCCTCGTCAAAACACCACTGCCTCTTGTGCAAACTCAGCTACTTCCAGATCTTGCTGGGGAGAGTATTCCATTGATACCAACTGGTATGATGTTACTCCCACTGGAGTTACTAGAGGTATGTGATGTCAAATTCCGATTGATTAGTCCATCATTAACCTAATTTACAGAATACTGGCTTTCAGTTGAAAACTCTACCATCACACCTGATGGTTATACTCGCTCAGCCATGACCTTCAATGGAACTGTCCCAGGACCTGCAATTATAGCAGACTGGGGCGACAATCTTATAATCCGTAAGTCTCCAGTTACCCAGAGAATCTCTTTGTCACAACTCGAGGTCCTCAAATATCATTCTTTCTGAGTTTGGTTATCTTTACTGACTAAATGATTACAGACGTTACCAACAATCTTGAATACAACGGTACATCTATTCATTGGCATGGAATTCGTCAACTAGGAAGTCTCGAATATGATGGTGTACCCGGTATGTCTTTAAAAGATCGTCATCATGCGATCACAAGAACATCCCCCCTTTCTCTCCCATCCCATCCCATATTCCCTCCTCTCTGCACCCACAACTATTTCCTATCTTATAGAGAAAATAACTAACATCAAATCCAGGTGTAACTCAATGTCCTATCGCTCCTGGAGATACCTTGACCTATAAATTCCAAGCTACTCAATATGGAACCACTTGGTATCACTCTCACTTCTCTCTTCAATATGGTGATGGACTCTTTGGACCCTTGATCATTAACGGCCCTGCTACTGCGGACTATGATGAAGATGTTGGTGCAATTTTCCTCCAAGATTGGGCACATGAATCCGTTTTCGAAATTTGGGACTCCGCTAGACTTGGTGCTCCTCCAGCACTTGAAAACACTTTGATGAACGGAACCAACATCTTCGATTGCTCAGCTTCTACTGATCCTAACTGTGTTGGCGGTGGTAAGAAATTCGAGTTGACTTTTGTCGAAGGTACCAAATATAGATTGAGATTGATCAACGTTGGAATTGACAGTCACTTCGAATTCGCCATTGAT